AGTGATGTCTTCATGGAAGACTTAGGGAAACTGGCTCATATTAACACATTACACATGGGGAAAGCCAAGAAAATGCCCATGCAGTCAGCCCGTTCGTGGGGTTCGAACGTCGAACTGAACTACCAGTGTTCAGGGACTTTACCACTCGGCGACTGGTGGACCTAACTCTCTTAATTGAACGAAAATAATTCCATCTATTCATAGATAGAAAATTCAAAAAAGATAGCATGGGAATCAGACAAAATAATAGTGAATAAATTATGCGTGCAAAGCAGCACAATAAATGTGATACTCTAGCATGCAAAATTACGAACAATGTTAAGGAACCACAAACAACGTAAGATACCTCTGAACATGCAAATCCTTTGGGTAATTATCTCGATTACTAGCAGTGTTTACGTTTACCGGATTCTTTGCGGAAGAAGATCCCAGCATTTTATCACATTTTTTGTACTTTTGCTTTGTTTACGAATTTTTCGTCGTTTAAAGTTCTCCAAATTTGTTATATTAGCATATAAATATTAAAAACTAAACTCAGTGGCGTAACAGCCCTAATGGGCCAAGGCCTGCAGTGCCGAACCTAAGCTCTTTGTATGATATATTCAGAGGCCCTCCTTCTTAGACAAATAAGCCTCGAGTTCTCTGCCATAATTAAATAAACCTCTTTCGACGTTTCTTCTCTTTAGTTTTCAGAATCTCCAGTGTCCGAGATCAAAGTTATCAACTTTCTATTATCTGCTTAAATAACAAAAAAGTTTAAAATGTTAAAAAATAAAACATTAAAATGCTTTTGTGAGTGAACTATACAGCATGAAATCCAAAAACATCTCTTTTCCCATTCTGACCGTAAATGATTTCTCTTCGGCATTCAAGTTTGTTTAGAAAGATGGTAATCTGGCTACACATATTTCGCAGAAATGAAGATTCTCTGGACGTGCTGTCCCATGTAGGTAGGTATAGGAGATGTGATAGCAATTTAACACAATGGCCAGTGTTGTTGATTTTTGAACCACTAGTGATTTTTTGCATTAATAGCAGAAACGTTTGGTTTATAAACAACAATTCTGCCATGAAAACCATGAGTTCGAAGTTTACAATGAACTGTCACTGTGCTGACATTACTGGAATTCCTGACAAATTTTGCCTCCCCAACTGACTTTTACAACTCTGCAGTGCTCTTCGGTCCCCGGATATACAAAACATGATATACCAGGTCTCTGCTGCACAGCTGTAGCTTCTGCACATTTCCGGTTCACCCTAATATCACGTACGGAACAACCCCCTCAATATCGCAGAAATTTCCTGAGCAGTGATTACTACACTTCCTCACATTAAAAATCATTTAGCTCACATTTCCCTCACACATTATTGTTTTACCTTTGAAGACTGCACACTTATCTTGATTCTAGAAACTTGATGTCACTGGCAGAATCCATTATGGATGGCCGGATACTTTTGATTTAAATCCAGTAATATTGCTGAATATCATTTTAATTCTGGAAATTTTACTTGAGATGAGTTCCAGTCATTAGTCCTGTTTATTATGCTTTGCTGTGTTGAACTTTTTCATTACATGCCTGAACTACCCTCTCATTACGTTAGAAGTTGATAGAGATATATGAGAACGTTCAGAACGGTAGCCCATCGTTATATGTGGGTGCATTCTACTATTTTTATATATCTTTATCCACTATTGTACATTAGACAGATTGAATTTTTCTCTTGAAACCATCTGAATTGAAAAAACTGAAAATTTAAGTTGCATACTAATGTTTATGATAACTCTCGTATTAGCTGCATGTCAATAAAACCCTTACAACATGGAATGAACAATGCACCTTTATTTTCCACAGTTCAACTGATAACAAACAAAATCTATACTATAGGTAAATCATTAAATTCGGGCATTATTTTTTTTCCCAACGAATTAAACTTCTTCAGATGGATTTGTCATATATGCTACAGTAATATTCAGTTCATATGCATGCAACAATCTTAATGGAATGAAATGTAAATATTTTTAATTCTAACAGATTATATCCTTGGCACTAAGATAAATGAGAATATGATACCTGAATTTTAACCTTGACTGTTTTATTTCATTACGAAGGAATGATAGCAGGATTCAGTAATGTAAAACAAGCATGCTGGGTGTTTTTCTTTTGTGTAATTTAAATTTTTCAGACCCCTTTAAGATATCAAAATAAAAGTAATAATGGAAGCTGACTACAGCTTTATTACAAGAAGATCTGAATAGCAACAATGTTGGTGGCTTTAGCAATAAACAAAATTACAAAACAGGAGAAAGTACTGAGAAACCATATTGCAGCAGAACAAAAATATAGGAGCAGTGGATATGCAGTCAATACTTACTATCCATCGTACAGAATATCCTTCAAAAGTTTTTTCTTAGACTCCTCGACATTACGATCTATAATTCAGTGTCAAAAGTAATCAAGAAGAGAATGTCAATTTCAAGCATTAGTTTTACCAATGCCATTTCCCCTTTCAGAAAGGCATTTTCCATTTCTAATTCTTAATGAGAAAGAGAAAATTAGAAGAATTGCCTCTCTCAAACTACACACAAGAAGCAAGCTTCAGGAAAAGCATCTCATTTTGAGGGCAAAGATTTTTAATGCAGTACTCTTCAGAATATATCACACAGAAAACCAATTTTAAATTTCATTATGAATGTATATATGTATATGCATGTATAGGTTTGTTGCTTTATATTAAATATTTTAATTGTCGTCTAAACACTGAAAGTTTGTTTTAAATTCCTCTTTTATTACCTATATATATGTAAAATAAAAATAATGTAAATCAAAATTATAATTTAAACTAGCTGTAACATCTTAATTTCCTCCTCTCTATCCTTAAAATAACTTTTCTAGCCTGTCATTTTTAGATCAATCCATAATGCTCATGATGTAGCTAACTTGGAACCTGAACTCAAAATTTTGAGAAATGAAACCTATCTAAACCAAAACCTCTTGGTAAGCCTCAATATTGGATAATTACGCATTTTTAGCTTCAGCTCTCCTGCAATCAAAATGCTACTGTGTCCCCTTTGCTTTGTCATGCTAACTATCCCTTACCTAAAATGCAATATTCTATATAAAATTGTCGGATGTCCATGATCATGTGTGACGAAGAATATTTTTTGATTAGTTCATATCCACCAATAAAAGTTATATTCAATTCACCACGTGTGTCTACTAGTCTTTCTCTCGAGTGTCATCTTTCTAACTACGCAGTAGCCTTCACACCATAAAATGGCACAGAACCGTCATCTTGTTACATATGTATATGATTACAAATCCTATATGTACTTATTCTATAATTCACCAAGCACAAAGATAAATGCATTTTCTTCAATATTTGAAAAAATTGAGTTAATTAGAATACAAATTTAAGCCTGATTTCGCTAAAAATTTGGCAAAAATTAATGAGTATTGGGCATCCACCATCTTGTGGAGAGGTCACAGAATCTCGGCACCCCATCTCATAGGAACACAGCAGGAGACTGGAGTGCCATCTTGGAAAGGGTTGATTTTAATATTAAAATTTAACTAAAGCAGCATCATTTCCCATTGGAATTTTTTGTGGGGGGGGGGGGGGGCGATTGCCCTTAACCCTTTCAGGATGGGCATCCCATATACGCATTCCCTAAGAACGTCTCTTACAGCCAGGCGTCCCATCCACACATCAGTAAAGATCGCATTCAAAGGACGGATGATGCGTCTTTCTGAAGGCCACTAGATGGCATCCTGTGTCCATTACTTTTGAAATGAACACAGTTTTAGGTTCCTGACCTTGAGTTTGATATATTCTACTTCACTTCGGTATTTTACTCATCAGTTTTTTTTTTGGGGGGGGGCGAAGGGAAAGCGTAAACAGAGGCGGGCTCTTTAAATTGCTGCGTGCTAATGAAAACATTCTTGTATCTGATTTATATCCAATTCCTTTTTTTATTCTATTTTTTCCCTCTGCTATGTACGGTCTTTTAGGGTTACTGTGTGGAGTATTTTTACGTTTTGCATTGCCTTCAGATATATTTCCGTTCCTTCTTTTTTTATTTAGGAAAGCCTCACCTCCAGTCTATTATAGCGGGAAGGCACTATTTATCAGAGGAAGAATACCCTAGTATGGTTAGTGAACGATTTACTAATGCAATTGAGAGTACCGATTCATTTTCTAAAGAGTTAAAAAGTGATACATTTTCTAAGAGTTACAAAGTGATACTTCTCTGCGCTTCGAGATTTACCACACACGTTTTCATTTTAAATTTTGTTACTTCTTACTGTAAATAGTCTTTATTGTGCTCTTTTGATTAATTTTAAACTTTATTGATGGATTTTATCAATTAAAACTTTGGAATAATTTGAATAGCGCTTCCGAAAATTATTTCAGAAGATGAGCAATTTTGTAAGTACATTTTCGTGTAAAATAAAGAAAAAAATGTTTTAAGGGCTCAAGTAATAATTTAAAATGATACCAAAAATTATGATGCTAGAAGCGAAACTTTTGGTTTTCTGATTTTTGTTATAAAATTAGGCTTAGCGATGCAAAACCTCCATCCTGTACGGTGACTGCCTTTGATTCTCTTCCGTTCCGCAAGAGCGTCTAAAACAAAGGTGCGCCGTTGCGAAAAGGTTAAAATCGATATTTATTCAAAATCTATGGTTTTTTTTTGGCCCAATTTTAAATGGCTAACTGAAATTGAAACAAAGTTGTCTGCAGATTTAATAATTTATAATTTTTTTTACATAATCTGGTGACTTTATTTTACTCTAAAAATTTATCATATTAAATGAATTGTTAATCACGATAAGCCTTGTATGTCTGCGCATGCAATTGGAAGGAACTTCGGCTACAATACCCAGATGATATAAATTGTGAATAACATTACGAAACATCTACTGTGTTTGGATACAAAATATTCTTTAAATTATATTCAAATCATGAAAAATTACTACATTTGAATGAAAGACAAAAAATATTTTTATAACTTTTTTATTACAATTACATTACTGTATCTTTATGCAACCATAGCTGAAGCAGTAGATGATTCACTGCAAAAGAGAAAAAGTTTACATTAGCTGTATAAAAATTCTTTGTAATTATACATTACATCAAATTTAGTTACATGAAAAATATAGATAAAAGCACTTTGATTAGCTATTATTCATATATATCTGGAAATGTCTTTGGTTTAGCATTAATTGAAATAACACATTCTTTATTCTTTACATGAACATATGGTTTTTGGTACTTAACTGTCTTATCTCCCAATCAAGAAATCTGAAAAATTGGGAAGTTTTCATGTTGTACAGTGATGCCATTTCAAAAGAGCTCCAAACTGACTTATATAGTGAATGATTCAGGTTATTGAACTATTTGTAGTACACCTCTGATGTAAAATACATTGGTATTTAGTTAGATATTATAAATTTTGCTCTTAGGCTAATTTTATTTTGTAATTTTCTTAGAATTTTATACTAAGAAAATCCTGAATAGGAAAAAAAAAGCTCTTATTTATTGAATACTTTTAAATACAATGGAAATTTAATTAATAATTAGTGTACATAATATTTATCTGGATAAACTTAGTAATGTCCCATAAAATGAAGTAATATAAATATTGACTGAAACACTGGTTGAATCTTCATATAAAAACCTACAAATGTCTTCAGTATATAAGACAACTTAGATAAAATTTAACAAGAAAAATTAGTCTGAAATCACTAGAGGTGGAGGAACAGAATATGCACAATTTAAGTTTTATTCATTCAATAAAGTTCCATTTATTACTAGAAAACACTTTTTTAAATAAAGGCTAAAATTAAAAAGTTAGCAGTTTTGTATGTTAATGGAGAAGCCCAACTTTGGCAGTCATTTGGTACAATTAATAGTTCTCTATTTCGAATGGAAAATATTTGGCAATCACTTCTAAAATAATCTCAAAGGCTTTTTATAACCCAAGCTACAACTTTCTGCTGTGACATTAGGTATGATTTTAAATAGTGGACTGCTGTGGCCCTGAACACAAATATGCTATTTGACAGGTGAAATTTATCAATGCAAAGGATGTAAGAAATGCCACAGATTTTTGAAGGTGTTAAATACAATAATGAAAATGATGATACAACCATATTTAAAATGAGTGCAAACAAAATTATCTATATGGAAGTGAACATTTTAGTCATTCCAGGTACTTATGTATTATCTTGTCAACCATGAAACTGTTGCCAAACAGTGTGATTTAGTGAAGCATGATGTAGCCAACACAATTATAACAGTGCTTTGGTTTGATGCAACCCCAACTGATTTCCGATAAGCCACATTTTGTTTTTATAAAAAAGCTTATAAATTAGCTGTTGCTGTTATAATTTGCTGTTTTTTACCTTGCATTTTAAAATAAATACAGTCAAATACCAAAAACCCGCCAACTCCTGAAATCCATGTTGCCTCTCAGAATATAAACATTCAGTTTATAGGTTCCGGAAACAGCAACATTGAGTATGAAATATCGAAGGAAAATACTTACCGAATATTAATGAGTCAAAACGATTATTGATATAAAAACCTTAAAAAATAAGATAAGTTTTTTTCCCTCTAATCTGCATTGTGGTACAAGTTCACAATTCACGTTGTTTTGTTATTTCATTTCACAAGATTGTTTAGTACTGCCTTTTTTTTATCCGGATATTTTGTGGATAAATTATGAATATTTTTAATTTCAGCCATTTTAATACAAGGACAGATAAGAAATGCACTCCTGATTTTACTGCTTCCAACGTTGAAAACGTAAACACGTTGCATTGACGGTAATGCAAAAAGTGGAAATTCTGCAAAAGATGGAAGCAGTGCTTCTCCTCGATTTATAGCAGAACAGTATGGAATTGCGACACGATTGTGTACGATATACGGAAAAATAAAGAAAAGCTGTTGAAATTTTACAGCAACAGTGATTTTAACACCGGAAATCTTTGCATGAGGCAAAATCGGCAAACCTCGATGCTGTGTACATATAATAAATACAATGAATAATATAATCAATTTATATGTAATAATAATAATTTAATTAAATATATCTAATACGCATTATTCATTTTGCACTTTTAGTCCGAATATTATGCTTTATCTTTTCTGTCCTGAAATCCGCACAACCTCTGGTCCCAAGCTTTGCGGATTTCTGGAATTCTACTGTAATTACAATTTGGTACCTGACTTCTACAAAACAGCAAGCAATGGGTTATTTCAAAGTTATGGGATTAACTATAAAATTAGTGAAATTTGATGAACACAATATTGTCATCTGCATGTGGCAGATAAAACGGCATTTTTACTCATAGCATTCTAAACACAGCTTCCAGTAAAATAAGATGACTTAAAGAGAAATCTAGGAAAGCCTTTTAAAAAAGCACTAAAATGAATTCTGTCGAGTTCAGATTGTTTATTAAATAAACAGATGCCAGATCAAAATAGTGCAAAAACGACTTGCCCTATTTTGATGGGATCTCCACCAACTTTCACAGCCATGAAATAAACACGCAGGTACCCATTTTCATAGGCAAAAACCATAATAGGATAAATGTATTAATAAAAAGTGTAAAAGAAACAAATTATTTATAAAGAAGCGAATTTTCAGTCACTTTTAGCAACAGCTGGTACAAATTTGAAAATAGTTTTTTAAGGGGAAAAATACAGTACATTCCAAAGAAGTTGATAATATTGCAAATGCTTTCTTCAGTATTACCTGATTGTTGTGATAAGTTTCTATCTAATATAATGCTCACTAGTTCAAAAAGTATATTAAAAATATACATTATTACTGTATTATAGGCATTATTTTAGTTGCATTATGCTAGCAAAGAAGCTTTCAGAATAGAGAATGTCAAGGTAATGAATAACTAATCAAAATGCACTCTTTGCAGTCAGAGAGGCAGATTTTAAGTAACATATTACAGCTCCAAGAACTATGTCCAAGACTGTGTTGTTGCAGCACGAACAACACAATCAATCAAATGACAGGCAGAGGACTATACAGAATAGTCTTTCACATATACAAGCAATGAAAGACTTGATGTAAATCCCAGTTATTAATTAAGCACATTAGTCTTAATTGGGCAAGCAGAATTCCAAACTATCCTGCCATTGCTTCGTTATTCAACATCTTCTGCTTTACAGTGAGAGCTGTTTAAACCTGAACTGGTAAGAACAAAAGCTGGTCCCTTGGCAATTTTATGATGAAGTAGCGCAGAGAAAAACCATTTACAAGATAAAACTCTCTACTTTATAAACGAAAAAACTTCACTAACATTAACAAGAATTTTCAAAATATAACACAGGTTTAACAAAATTTTAATTTTGTACATAGTATAAACAAGACAGAAGTCAAAACAATAAATCTTCAGCATAGCTGAAATAATGCTTTTAGTGTCACTCAAACATACAATATCTCGTTTGATAAACATTTACAACAACATCACGGATTGGAAATAAAATGCATCTTCTAATTATGCACCTATTCCTATACAGTGGGAGTTTGTTAACTTCGCTTAAAGGTTCTCAGAAAAAGAGATCCAATAATAAGACAAGACAATTATCCAATAATAAGACAAGACAAAAAATCTACTTTAAAAGTGTTTCACAGAAGAAAAATTTCCTAGCATGTGTAACTCCAGAAAATATACCATGGTATCCAAAATTAGACATATTAAAAACACTAAAAACTTACTTTAATAATAAAATGAAGCAGAAAATATGCAGTGGGAAGTAAACTTTAAAAATATGAACTACACTTTTTAAAGTAAACAATTCATTTTCAGAGGTAGGTTCAACCAGAATAAATGCTCTTATAGAGTCCATTATGGCTTGATTATTAAGTCACTTAACAAACTCTGCATTCTCTTCTAAGGTATCATCTTTTTCTTCTTTTCGGATAGTTTTTATTATGCCACTGCTACTGTTTTCCACAGACTTCCAACTCTTAACCTACACTTACATAATCAGAAAAGTTATTTTATCACATTAAAATTTCTCAAATTCAAGAAAAAGCTGTATCAATATCATCACATTCTTTAAGAATATTTCTTTGGTGTGCATGAATTTAGCATGGTGAAAGCAATTACTAATTATGCTTCACATGCGGCATAACAATCATTTATAGTTGTTAGCAGAACAATATTGTAATTTTCACCACAATCTAAAGAAAAAATTATTTGTTGCAGATTCAGTGATTCAAGCTTTGCAGCGGCAAACATTCAGCCTGCATGGAACTCAATTCAGAAAAGTTATTGTGGAAATAATCCACAAACTCCGTTATCCACAAACAAGATGCTTTTCCTTCAAAAACTGCCCATTTACTGAAGATGTCTCATGCCATCCATTCTTTTGTATTGGATACATAAGCAACTAGCAGTCTTCGTTCCTTTAAAACACAGTGGATTCAAGACTTCCCAATCACTAACTCAAGAATAATAATATGAAATATAAATCCCATTCTAGAACAAACTAAAGCTGTAATCCTCTGCTTACTGCTTTTACCTTCTATGCAAGTACCCTTTTAAAATGTAATGTTTTGTTTGGCAAGAGTTCATAAAAGAAATGCAGTTTTGTTCACATTAAAAATATCTTTCAGCAGTTAAGTAGAGAAAAGCCCTAGCAGTTTCCAACCAAAATCAGTGCATACATCTTTGTTTATATCAGAGCTTTGGCCATATACAGTATGATAAGAAATACTGTATCTTGACTTAAATCGAGAAAGCCACCCATCACTGCATTTAAAACCTTCAATAATCTTTCGTCTTGCCAATTCACTGGCTTTTGTCAGCAATAGCGGTACACTTATTCGAAAATTTCAAGATATAGCCTCTTGAGACGTAGCATTACAGCTTTTTCTAGATCTCCTGGGGACATATTTCTCATGTGTTTCTTCCTTCCTCTAGCAGATTTAGATTTTTCCCATGAATCTAAAATTGATTTTTTTCCCAAATAAGTTAGCAAGGTATTTTTTTTTTTTTTAAATTCCATAGTCAGCTGCTTACTTTGTTTTATATTCGCAGTTTTC